CTTTTTAACTTTTAAATTATATTATGAGGAGCCACTTATTGCAATGAGATGATGAACATCTGTTGGGAGCACCATAACCAGGGGCATTTAGCTGCTTAAGACAGGCTGAAACTACCGGTGCTTTGGGGGAGCATTTGATGGCAGCAGCTTTCAACAGTGGAACAATTTCAGAACTCAGAAAGTCAATAAATGGAATAATTAAGTATCAGGATAAGAAACAGTAGTAACAAGAAGAGTAGGCTGGAGTGGCAATGACCTTACAAAACTTGTTACTGAAGTTACTAAGGGGTATTAACAAATGAGCACCAGAAGATTTTTCTTACTGCTTTCTACTGATGTTTCCTCTAATTGCAGATTCACTCCTGTTTTTTTAAACTGCTGTCACCCTTGCTACTGCTGTGGGTGACCACTGCAGTGGTTACACAGCAGTGTTTAATTCGGCTTTGTGCCTGTTTGAACAAACCCACAAAAAAGCAGCCACCAGGCAAGAGAGGGGCAAACAAGTTATGCAAGGCTTCACAGGTGACTTTGCAGGTCCACCCAGGTAGCTCCCCTCAAACTGGTTTCCATATTGGTGGTATTCCCCTTTCCAAAACCCTTCCCTCAACAGGTTCTTCCACATTTCACCTAAATCCAATCTTCTCTTCACTTGGATTAAGAACCAGCACTTGCCCCTGCTCTAAGACGGCAAAGCACAGAGCAGCACAAAGTCCTGCTAGGTGGTCTGCTTCAGGAGGATACATTTATTCTAAAGACATTTTGAAAGTGATAGAGTATGTGCCATTATTACTTCATATCATCAGTCACCCATGTGGAAGGTTTCCTTGTTACAACTCACATAAGGGTGGTTGTCTGCTTTCCTGTGCATCCACCTTATTGTATTTCAAGAAAAACTCTGAGTAGAGTCCCCATCACCGCAGGTTTTCAAAACGTGATTGGACAGATAGATTACTGCTAGATGATCTCACCTAAGATCCCTTTCCCACAACAGGTTGGACCAGGTGGTCTGTCAAGGTTCCATCCAACCTGGGCTGTTCTGTCAATTCCATGATTTAGCTAGTGGTTTACTGGTGTGATATTAGTGGAGTGAGACCTGCCTAAAGACTTCTCATGCAATTACGTCAAAATTCTTTAACATCTATCACATTTACAAATCAAGCTAAGAATAAGGATTTACAATTCAAAATTGTAACCTCTGCAGTTAAAAAAAAAAAAAATTGACCCCTCCTCTTTGTATCCCCCTCTTACTTCCTGCATTTTCTGTGAAGTAGCACATGGATAGGTGGTACGTGTGTCTGCTCCCTTCTGAGCCCAGGAACCATGCTCAGTGACACACACACTAGTTACAGGCAGTTCGTCACATTCTGCAGCTTCTTCCCTGTATCCCCTACTCCCCCCTCTGTCCCCTCCCAAAGCTCTGTTTACAGCTACTAAACAGTTAAATGTAATAATACTTGCATAAGCTATACTCCACTCAATATTAATATACCCAGAGTTAACACTGTCCTTTTTGGAGTTCAAGAGTGCTTAGATCTTTCTAAAAGCAACTCAGTGTCATCATTAAGAAATGAGAAATAACAATCCTAAATAACAGCCTTTGGAGAGCCTAACTACAGGAGTTTGTTCAGATCACACTCATTCGTATCATCACAGATCAAAGCATTTCACGCTGCTATGAATTTAAAATCACAAATGTCTTATCACTGTGGCAAACTGGTTTTCAAATGAGACTCATATTAAGTAGTGAAAAGGTGACCATGTCCACTTCAGTGTCTGAAAGTATACTTTGCTTCAGAAAACAAAAGAACATAAAAATAAAGTATTTGATTGAAATTATTTTACAAAAAAAAATTATATCTCAATTCTAGAACCACAACTTAAAAGACAAGTAATACAGTGTTTATTTAGAAGCAGCATAAATCCAAACAGTGCATAAAATTCCCCAGTGTTTATTGTTACAGTTTAAGTGCATATATTCCTTTTATAATTTTGCACCTTTCCACAGAAACAGACATACAGCAGCTGCACAATTTGCTCTTTTCAATAAGCTTTTACTACTTTAAAATCTCATCTTTATACCTGGATAATAGCATGAACTAGTCCCAGTGATAAATTCCAGATTTATATAGACTAGATTTCAAAAGAGTAAACAATATGGCAGGTGTTAAAATTTTTTAATATTCCCATAAAAGGCGGCATAATAAACAATTCAAGTAAATTAAGACAGACAATATACACAAGACCTTTGTACAAAAACAGATGTTCAGTACAAAATACTTACTTATCTGTAAAAAAAAAAGGCTTTTTATAAGTTAATAGTATGGGCCCTAGCTTCTGAATGTCAAGAGAAAGAGGTTATTATGAAAGTATTTCTAAAGTTTAAATACAGTCAGTGCTGGCTGAAATACTTCCTCCTCTTTTATAAATGAATTATGGAAGACAGAATCACCTAACATAGGAGCCTGAGCACCAAAAGTTAAATTTCCATTTTGAATTGGTTCATAAGTGAGACTTCTCCCATTTGCTACAAGGAAAACCACTGTAGCTTCTTTGGCTGAGGCCATCATCTCTGAATAGCACCCCAAACAAAACAGGAAACACTTCCACTGCTGAGAAATAATGAAGGAGTATAGTTTGGTCAGAATGCTAAACATTATGGAACAATTCTGTTTCTAAAGAGATGAATGTGACTTCACAACTGTTATCTTTAAATTATTTAATAAGTACCACAGTATTGACAATCTTGATCATTAGTTTTGAAACAAAGATGCCAAAAAACACAGAAAAATTTATTATTCTTACATCAACAGCTAGTGAGTTTCTATTTTAAATTTAGTCTCTTGATTCAAACATTATGTAGTGGCATCACTTTTACTGAAATTCTTGGGGAGTGGATAGTATCAGGATACAGAACAGGCAACAAGGCTTAATTCCCTCTTCCCCAGCCTCCCCTGCCAAATACTTCCATAAGACATTACTTACTGTAGATTATGTACAATACCAGAATTCACCCATTTCATTCATGTTATCATTGCCTATATAAAGCTGGAGCGTACTTTGTGTCCAGCTTGGACAATAGCCACAACGTTCCATCACACCCATTGATGGAGATTAGACTTCTATTTCCAGCTTCTTGCCCTTCCAGATGCTGGGGACTGGAGAGAACATAGATGCTGACCCTTCAGCTGCATGAAGATAAATGAAGCAAATGCTTCACTTCATTTGGCAAGGACCTACATCCATCTCAAGAGCAGCGAGAGCATATTGACAAACCCTGTCCAAGTCCTGAGAAATGCCAATTGCCACATGATGCTTACAGCCTTATTAAGCTGAGATGGAAAGTCCTTCAGCTCTCTGAAAGTTTCAGAGCTCTCTTTTCAACAGAGTTTGAATAGAACTCTTGGGAGTCTTTGGGTAAGACTGAACATAAATTAATCACATGCAGAAAACCTTAAACCATTTCAACGCCTTGGCCAGAAAAACCATGACATGCCTGGAAGTACCAAAGCGATGATTACAGAAGAAAAAAGATTTACTGCATTGTTGTCTAAGATAGGTTTCCCAGATATGTGCTTGGAGTCTTTTGTTTGGTGGCTAACAACCATGCCAATATTCTGGTCAAAACCTGGGAAAAGACAAAGACTTCATTTTACAAAGCTGAAAAACTTAGTAACCAAGTGTATGCAACTTCCTAAATGCAGTTTACTATTATGGTGTTAAACCTCTACAAGAAGACATCATCACACTAAACTAGACTACAGTCACTTACTTCTTTTGAGCAGTTACAGTTCTGTCAAATCTACTTCTCTTTACGTAGTTTCACAGCAAAGAAAGGAATGAAACAAGCTAAATCAGAAGAGGAAAAAGCTGTTCCAAGAGTCATTCTAGAGGAAAATGATGCTGTTTTGAACAAAACAACTGATTAGCAACATGTATTTCCTGTCTAGAAGATGTATTTATTTTCAAAGGAAAATTACGGAAATAGTATTATTACTTGATCTGACAGAAAACAAGCTCCTTATAAAGGCTGAATTTATAATTTCTATTTACACAGCAATTTTATACTAGGAGCAGCTGGAGGTTTTTCCCTAGTACTTAGATCATTTCCTACTCTGTCTCTGTATTATCAAAAGAGTAGCACAGTGCTGTGCACCACACTTGATCTTTTCTAAGATGGTGTGGAATTGTCTGTTCCTCCTGCTAATCCAACTGATGCCTGGAGGTGACAGGTTAGCTAAGTGCATATTGGGTCTTTTCGAAGGGGTGTAAGAATCAAAGTCTAATAGTTTAACTCTTAACACTTTCTATGTTTTAGAGAGTAGTAAGTTTTCTTGAGAAAAACTGGGAATAAATTTTTCTACATTTGTACATTCAGAGCATAAACTAGCAAGAAAAGTAAGTCCTTCCACTGGCTTTCTTATTTACAGAACAGGTATATCTTCAGCCTGATACATGGGCAAATTCGAAGCCAATTCTGCACAGCTATTCAGACAAAGTTTTAATTAATAGATGTGTGGACAGGGATGGACCTTCTTTTAGAAAGAGTGGGTACCACAGGCTACACCAAATCCAGGAATATTACCAAAAGGAAAAACACTGACAGAAGGGATTAGCAGTAGCAGCATATTGTTTAAAAACAAAAACAAAAATAAACAAAAACAAACAAACAAAAAAACCACAAAAAAATAAAAAAGAAAAAAAGGCAATATTACCACTACTGTATTTTTTGTTTTTTCGAGATGCTGCAGAGAGATTAGAGTATTTCTTATGAGTTCACACTGAATAGGGATTGGAAAAGTGGGTTAAGTAAAGAGGGACTCAAAACCTAACAATATACATTGCATGAACTGCACTATTTCATCTATATCACGGCATATATGTACCATAGCATGTATGTGTATAATATAGTATACACACTCCAGCAGTGCTTATGAAGTTGTAAAAGAACCATGGAACTTGCATACTGCCCCTGCTGCAGCTAGCAAAGTTGCTGAGCATGGAAAAACGACACAAAATGAAGGAGAAATAGATGCTGATAAATGCAGGCATGCATTAGCTGGGCTAATCCCATTCTCTTCATATATCTGCCTCATTAGGAGCTTGAACCATTGTCTGAATGCTTAAGTGTTTCTTCTCTAGTATAGAAGTATCTAAAAATTCATCAAATAGTTAAACACTCCATTATATGTTGGATTTCCCTGGAATTACAAGGAATACAGCATAAAAACTGCTCGAAAGCCAAACCCAGAGCATCAACAACAGTTTGCAGTTCTCACTGTAATGGTAGATTTAAAGGACACGTGTCTCTTAGGCAGTGCATCTGCACAGTCAAACCTCAACTTCCAACAAGTAACTATACCAACAACAAAATTTGGAAACTTAAGTTCTCTCTGTAAATGAGCTGCTAAACAAAACAGTGCCAGATATGGTCTTTAAACAATTTTCAAACATTGGGTAAGTTTATAGTTTAGCCTAAATGCTGTCTGCAGTGTTTATTCAGACAATGATCCTTCAGAGCAATGAGTAAACACTGAAATGATTTACAATCAGCAAGCCAACAAATTTTTTAAACAAATGGACATGATTTTTTAATTTAAAGTCACAGCTAGTTTGCGATATGCTTAACTTATAGGAAATAGTACTCTATGAAGCAGTGAAAAAACCAGAATGCAAAATACTGTGCACATTTTCCTGGAGCTTTTCTTATTTAATTCTTAAAGCTCAGACTATTGCTCAGTCTTCAGAGTTAGGAATGGAGCTTCTGCTGTGACAACTTAATCAAAGTAAATGAATAAAATGAAGCTGACATTTTCTCTTATAAAATGGTTACTATAATTAGATAGAAAAGGAGAGGACAGCAATTGCTTCTTCCAAGGGAATATGCTGAAGATCTCTGGTCTCTTTCAGTCATTAACAAGACAGTAAGCTAGGATAAAGAAATCAAAATGTGGAAGAGGACCCAGTGCCCTTACTCGTTTTCATTATGACCATCACTTTTGCTCTCTCTGTCCTTTGTATCGCAAAGTCTGCATTTTTCCCATTTATGTCCTCAGCCCTTCTTGAAATTCAAATCCAATTTTAGGTTACATTAGGAGAGAGGATAAAAAAAAAAAAAAAAGAAGCAAAAGAAGAACCTTACCGCTGTACTGCATCGTAGCTCCCAAATAGGAATCCACAAGTGACCCCAGCAGGCCAGCAGCTGCGCCAAACACGATAATGGGCCATTGCGGAGCAGATATTTCCAGATCAGTCACAAAAATCAGCTGTGTTACAAAGTAGGCTATACCTACTGCCATGCCCCCAAGCAAACTTGAGAGCAGGCCCACAAAAGTAACTGCTCCATTAGTACCTAGATCAAACAAAATGAAGCTGATTTACAAATTTAAGACTTATATTCGTTTCAAATGTTTTACATGAAATCAAAACTGTTCACAGTGATCCTCTCCCCTTATATCTACAAGGGTCTGCTACTGCAGCTTTTATTTATAGTTCCCATTATGCTGTTGAGCAGCTTAACCTGTACCATTATAGCCTATTGCTACTACTTTTCCCATCTCTAAACCTAGTTATCTAGAATATCCACTAGCATTAAACTAAATAAAACCAGACAGCACACCTCTCAATGTCACCTGGTATATGTCTACAGGGGGAGACAGACAGATTCGATCCAAAAACCAGACCTTGAGATGTGCCTGTTATTAAAGCAATGCCTCTTTCAGAAAAAGTATACCAAGATATATTTCACTAACACATTTTAAAAGAAGAACAAAATCCATAGACAGGAAGATATTTGACAGCTCACTGAATTAAAATCTGAGGAATTTAAATTCTATCCAAAAAGACCTGTCACTCTGATCAATATGCCAGCAAGACTCAAGTAAGACATACTGCTTTAAGATGGCAGTGACATCCACTGTAGAGACAAGGTCTGACAGACAGAAAGTTCACTTCATATACCCTTGGTAAGATATTAAAGGAAATGAGCAATTTGGTTAAGAAGTGAGTTTTCTGTAGTCCCTATATTAAATATATATATCTTCTACCAATTAAAATATTAAGTTGATAACCTGTATTCTTCAATAGAAAAAAATATAATATAAACACTTTTAATATTGTCAGAGATGAGAAGTAACAGCATTCACAATGATATTAGCTCCATGAATGCTATGGTGGTGCATCTCAGCCACAACATGCAGAAGAAACACAATTGAGTATATTACATTTCAGAGAATGCACTCGTAGCAACTTTTTCTAATCCCAGGTGTTTGTTTTACTGTGTCTTTCTTAGAACTTTTTGAGTTGGATGCATAATTCAAAACAGATTAACAAAATACTAAGAATATGTAGAACAGGTAATACCTTACCTACTGGAACCTGTTCCCACGTTGTTATCAGTCTTGGTTTGCTTTTACTCATAACACTACCAATCTCTGAAGCCCATGTATCACCAGCAGAGCATGCCAAAGCTCCCAAAAGGGATAAGCACATCCATGATGCTGTATATTCCTTTGAAAAGTCTATAGGAATTTCACCTGGCCCATTTTCTATCATATATAAGAGAGCCAGCTCAGTAGGAACACCACCATTACAGAATACTTGAACCCAATTCCTCTGTCCACCTGAAGTAATAAAAACTCAATTTTAGTCCTTTCAGGCAGCAGTAATTGACAGGTAACAACATGAGACAAAAGCAAAATACACATACATAAAGTTCAATTTGAAAAGATACATGTTCAAAACAGAAACTATATGGCAATTTATTAAACAGAAAAAAAGCAAAGTTGCTTGCTAATGTTCACAGGGACAGGGTGGAGGGGAGTCACAACAGTGTTCCCTGTTCTAGATGTTACATCTCATCTGACTCTTTGAAAGGAACAGGAATATGCGCTGGATCTGAAAGAATTAAGGTTATTTTGGCTTACCTTCTTTGTATTCTGAATCTATCTGCTTCTTTATATCTTTTCTCCATTTAGTAAGTTTAGAAGAAGTAACGAAAAATACAAACAAAGAAGAGAAGAAACTGTAATTTGCAACAGTAAGGATAAATCCAACCACCAATCCTATGAAGGAAAAAAAGGTATATGAAGTTCCTTCATGTAACAATGGTTGCTTTGCAAAAGCAATTAAGTATTCTCAATTTTTTTAATATGAAGAGTATCTTCGTGATGATAAACTTAAGACAATCATGCAATAAGATATTTTATTGCTACTGCTGAAGTGCATGATTTTTAAGACCTTTTTTTTGCCACAAATCAGTAATACTGTGCAAAAATATAAGACAGAGCAGTAAAAAGAACAGAAGCCAAAGGATATATACTTGAAATTTAAGTACTCTGCCTGAAGAATACTATTATTTGCATAAGGAGCAGATACACAGCAGTGGCTGTACCTCTATCAGCAAGTTTATCGTCAGTTTGGGTATCAAACCCCATGACCAAGGTCTCTAAGATAACCTCTATAATCCTCCTCTCTATCTGAGCAAATGCTACTTCTCCCTTCTGTTCTTCCTTTTCTTTTTCAGTTTCTGATTTTTATGCCACCTCTCTATTTCTGTAATTTTTAGCTCCTGAATGCAATTCATTTTTATCTCTCCCTTCTCTGGGGTGGTCTAATTTCACTCCACACCATGGGACTACAATCCTGAACAACTGAAAGAAAATTGGCTGCACTTAGAGCAAACACCAATACAAACTGGCTGGCAGAACTGTTATGTTAGGAGGTACAAACATAGAAGTGAAAAAGATTTTTTTTAAATTTAGAAAATAATCCCCGTAACTCACAGACAGAACAAGATTTGCAAAACGGGTGTCATGGGAGGAAAGGATTTGATGCCTCATTTCATTCCACTGAACATCAATTCAAACAATGTCACAAGACAAGGGTGAATCACCTCGCCCAGGAATCTTGCCACAAATTTCAGTAATCACTGCTGTACACTATGCTGGGCTTTTTATCAGGTGGTCAAGAAAAGCTTGGTTGAAAGTTTTTTACTTAAAGTACAGACATAATTTTCTGATTTTTGTCAGGTCAAAAAAAAATGCCTAGAACCACCTGTATTACAGAAAGGAGAACCCATGTTATCATATCTGGTTTCCTGCCAGGCAGGTAGGCTGCTGACATGGATCGGTTTTAGGGTATTTCTTTACCACTCCCTCTGCCACTTCTTTATTTCTCCATGAACCCACCTACATGTGAAACCAAAATATGTGATTTAACTACATACTGTACTGAAGTTTAAAAAATTCTTCTAGGTTTATATAAATCTAATGACAATATTAAGCGAATCAATTACCAACAGAAGCACAAAATCACAGAAGTAACTTGACTTTTAAACAGGCGTGAGAAAAACCCAAACCAGTATGAATGTAAGGTATGTATGCTTACATTTATACTCCGCCATAATAGAACTAGATAGTAAAGTCTTAAATTACAGGCAATAAAAAGGACCTTAATTTTGTTTACTAAATGTTTAGCTTAATAGTCTCAGAAAAAAACATACCTCCCAATGCACCACTGTGATCAAGACTCTTCTTCTTAAAACCCTGTGTAGCAATAATTAGCGGAACCAAGACTGAAAAAAGCCATCGCCATGGAGAAATGGGTCGTAACGTACCTGACAGATCAAATAACAGGGTTACAGATGATCCTTACAAGCCTTTTTAATGCCTTCATATCTGAAAAGTCATTATCTTCTAGTATATACTTAAATTCTGAATCTTAATAGAGATTAACACTTTTTATCTTTCAGAAGAAAGGTATTCTTATGAACAGAAGACCAAAGTATCTGCATTTATCTACTTAATTTTTCTGTTCAGTTCTCAAAAGAAAAATATATTACATGAACGAAAATTAATTACCAGAAAATAGCAAAATGTGACAAGAAATAAACACAGGGATACTGTTCATTCTAAACAGGATTTATAAACACCAAGAACTAACATTCAAAATGTTAAGATCGCCTGAAACCTGATTCAGACACAACAGATAAGTTGAGAAGTTAGAAAAAAAAAACCCAAACATACAGCCACAATAGGGTATGTAGAGTCCAGTTTCAGTTCTGCATAAAATTAAAATTTCAGTTAACAAAACATCAGCATTGCTCTCATGTAAAGAGACTGCAAAGCAATTTTAAGTTAGTGCAAGAGCTTTGCTCATAGATCAAGTTATGACTCATTTGCTGGTAACTATAGGAATAATAATTATTATTAATTTTTCTGACATTTCAGAAAATATGTCAACAATAAAGGAATTAACAACACTGTCTATGGTCATTAATGCTCTTTTAGCATTGTAACAGAAGGAAAATTAGTACAATATATTGGAAGCTTTAACTTGTTTTTCAAGCCATCCCAAACAGCAGTGTTTTTGGAAAAGGCATTCTTGTTCATCAAAAGCTTTAGCTTGATAGCTCTTGGCTATGAAAACAACTATCTTCATCCTTTTCTCATAATCTATGTATTGTCACTTTGCTCTCCACACCATTTCTCACTATGTTAATAGAAGGAGTGCTGCCACTGGGCTGGCAGATGACCTTATCCTTTTTATTCTGCTTTGGAAAACTTAGCTATTCTGTTATATATTTAAGTGCTTAGCTGCACTACAGTGATACTTGATGTCATCTAATAAAACTAGCAGGAAGCCCTGCAGTTCTTCTGCTTGTCTGTGAACAAGTGATCAGTTTAATCCCAGTGTTACTGACAATCTATACTGATGCAAGACAGGACATCTACCTGCTTGGCCTTCTTTTACAGTTTTAAAGAAAATCTTTCTCTTCTGTGGTAACCACAATATTCTGATTGTTGCTACACTATGCTTGGTTGAAGTTCCAAACTGGATTAAGTCAAATATCTGTCTGACTCAGAATCCCGTTTAGCAGTGGTGGGCTGCACATGCACAAGCAAAGAGTATTAGAAACAGATAAAGACTCATCTTTCCTGTTTTATGGGGAGCCTCTAGGCTGTCATTCCTAAAATCCCCAACATATTTGCCTCATCAATTTTTAAGGCAGCAAAAATTTCTCCCCACAGAACTGAATTCTGGTTTTAGATGCACTGCAAAAGGTCTCTCAAACAGCTGAACAACAACAATCCTCCTGCCTCAAGTTTCATTGGACATCTGTTAATTTTATGATCAACTGCTTAATGATTTCCTATTCACATTTTTCCTGCCACTCATGACCTATAGGAGGATGTTTCCTTTCTATGCCAAAATATCTTTACCTATTTAAGTCTTCTTCATATGGTGTTTTATTTGCTCTGACCATCCTTGTTGTCTACACTGTTCCTTTCCAATTCTGCTATGGGTATTTTGAACTGGGATGATTACAACTGCGTAGGAGAGAGATACTTCAAACTTTTTACAACTTCTATAATCTACTGATTTTTGACAGAATTAAAGACATTCCATTTCTGAAACAGATGAGAATATATTAACATGGAGGGTATAATTCCCCTCCCCCAATTACCTGTCTGTACTGAACCAAGCTTCCGAGCTCTTCAGTCATGCTGCACAGTAATTACAGACAGCTTTGACGTAAAACATATATATTTGCCCTACTGCTCTCTGTTCTTCTCATCATCTTTTTGAGCATTCCTGTCTGATTGCCTTTATCCATAGTAACCAAGCTTCTGGGTCCCTCTCTCCCCCACAGGAGCATTCTCCTCAACAGGCTAAACTTATATCCCTCAGTACCTGAGAACACATCCACTATCCTTACAATGGATGCTCCTGCGACTTTATTAACCCTAAATTTTTCAACAAAAGGGCTAGTCCTATAAACATTCAAGGTAAACTAGGAACACTTTAAAAATGAAGTTTATTCCAGCATGCCATTGTATTCTCCAGATCCTCATTTTTAATAAGGAACAATACACACTATACATTTTGAATTAAGGTAAAGTAGCCATGTGACATACAGGTCAGGTGTTACACAGTCTGAAGCCTGAAGTTATCTAATGCAGTTCTCTCTTCTGTTACAGTCTCCTTGACCTGTTTCTACTGAAAATTTGGCTTAGTTGAGAACCAGAGATGATTTAGCCTTCTCATTCCTTGCTCTTGCATAGTCACTCTGATGCACATGCATGCACTCACAGCCTCTCCCCAACTTTGGTCTGGAGTGTTGCAGACTTGTTGAAAAGCAAGCTGCAGTCAACAATTTCATGTCTTATGATACATATTTACTCTCAGAAATGTTTTATTTTCTAAGGATTCTCTAGAGCAATCCTTTTCCACTTCTACATTCCACTCTCCACACTGTTATTTTTTCTCAGCCAAACAGACTGTGACAACAGAATTTATTCTTTGTTTGCACAAGATGTCTGTGTGAGAAATTATTTTCTTTGTGACATGGTATAATTCAACATAGACTGAAAACACATATTTAATCCAGGAGATGGCCTTCTTTTTCTATGAGTGGGGGATCCTTTCCACTCATGTTTGTCCCCTGACAGTAGCTGCAACAGAACTGCCATATTACTCAACCCCTGCCTTTGATTTCACATGAGTATGGGGTTTACATTTACACATTTGCTAAGTGAACAGCACACATGACTTTAGGAGTGGCTAAACGAACCAACACAGGTCTCTGCTGCCTCTTCACTTTATTTACTGGTCAACATAATTTAACTGAACTGAGCTTCCTGTGTTATGGTTGTTCAAATACCTGATTGTAGGTTATCGAGCCAACACAAGAGCCAACATTTGGAATACATTTCACAGTTTAAATCTATTAATTCCTTACTTTCCTACAAAAGCAATTCCACATAATCAAAGCAGTATACTTTTCAAATGCAGAAGCTTTTTCAGAACTGAAGAGAAATAAATTATTTCAGGTCTACTATTAAAATCTATGCAAAAATGGCTCACCTGTTATCCTCCTTATACAGAAAATAAAGCCAATTGACAATGTTTCGAAGTATTTAACTGGAAATTAGTAAAACCCCAAACTTGTTTTACAATGACTGTTTTTAATGATACCCTTCACTAACGATTTTTAAATTTACATGCCCAAACCACAAGGATAGACTAGTTTGACGACATCCAAACAAAAAAAGAAGTCCTAGTTTTCAAACTACAAATAGTTCACTTTTACAAACAAAACCAACTGAATTTAAAAAGTCAAGTTAATTTCTCATCAAAGTAAGTACAGTGCCTTCTAGAAAGCTTTTTCCCGAGTTTCCAGTTTGTTGCCTTTGCTTAGTCATTCAAGTCACTATGATCTGAATTTAAACAAGCTTGCAAAACAGGAAAATTATATCCTACTCAGCTGTCATAATTCCACACCATTCCATAAAGCACTAGTGTCCACAGCAACTTAACCTCCAAGGAGGCAATTTACCATTAATGTCCTAAACACATTTGTTTCCTTCTAGATTTCCAGAACACTCACTAAAATAAAAGCAGTTAATAAAGGACTTATTATTGTTCAGTTAAAAGAGTATGCTATCTCAATAATGAAACAGACACAGTAAGATTCTTACAACTTTTATATTCTATTACCTCATTTTGACTTGAAATTGGAAGACACAAATTTCATTGTGAAAGATGCCAAAAGTACATCCCTAGGCACTCTCAGCATCACTGCAGTGACACCAGAGCTCTTCCTGCATCAAACTCGCTGAGGTCTTAAGGACAGGCCTTTGCCTGTCCTTCTAAGCTGGAACTGATACTGAAGGCAGCACTGCTGCTTTTGCACACTGCCTTGAACACGGTCCTAGAACCAAAACCACAGATCACACAAAGCACCTCTGACTCTGCAACTACACATAACTGAGCGACAGCCTGTCTGGACAGAATGCTGAGCTGACAGTACACACCCCTGCCAGCCACCCCATGCATACATCCCTGTCTTCTTATCCCATTTCCCCTGTTTCCCAGTTCCTTGACCAAGGAATTCCCCCTGCATGCCATGCTCTGCATGTTGAACATGCTGCTGCACGTGCATTCCCAAAACAGTTTTTCAGGCTGACACACTCCTCCCGTGCTGTCACGTACTTACCTCCGTCAGCTAGCTGTTTCTTTTCACTTTTTTATTTTTATTTGCCTTCTTTTAGGGAGAGAAATCACAAAGGATATCAACACCTGAAATCCTATGGTATCCCTGGGCACAAGTGCAAGGAAGTGGCTGTCAGCACCTTCTAAGCCCCTACCAGCTCCTCTCAGGGGTGGGGTTGTCAGCTCTGCTGAGGAAGAGGCTGTGCCTTTTCCCATTTTTTGCCTCCTGGCTGCAGGGGCTGCAGGGGAGGGCCGTGCGGGACGGCTCGGTTGGTCCCCGGCCTTTGGACTCACCGTAGTACGTACTTGCAGTCATGGACACGATCCAGAACGCCAGCGAAATGCAAATCAGCAAGTTCAGGATGACCATGTTCGCCATCATTTTGAGGTACTCTTTGAAGAAATCCTCCTGGTAATAGGACATGGGAATCCAGAAGGAGAACACCTGGTGGGAAAGGACAAGGCGCAGCGCATCAGCGACACCGCTAACACCTTCTTCTTCTTCTCCTCCTCCTCC